GGGCCCCTGGACTTATGTATGTCAGGTTTGCTTAGGTGCTCCCTAACCTGGCTCTCCTGCATTGATGGTGAGTCCTCCTTGCTCCAGGAGGTGAGCAGTGTTGCTGAAGTTTACCTTGTGAAAGACAAAAACCCCACAGTGCCTGGGGACTGCTGCAGCTCAGGGAGAAAGGGGCACTGTATCAAATCGGGGCTAGTCTGCACAGCTTGCACAAGAGCCAGGTCTTCTGCTCAGGCTGTTCAGGTGCACAATGTTAATATCCTATTCACGCTCTGCTTTGATTACTGATTGCATCTATTTTTACCCTGACACCAGCAGACTTCCTTCATTTTTTCTTCCTAAGTAAACTGCCACTTTTCCATCCTCCTCTGCCTTCCCTGGGTCCTGACGCCAGTCGCTACCCTGCCATGTAAAGCCTGTTCCTGGTACATCCTGCTGAGATCCACCTCGGGGGCCATGTCTACATTTTGCGTTTAATAAGGTAAAACACATACAGATGGTCCCATTGTAACTCCTTCACTATAATTATTTAAAAAGCCCCAAATGACTATATTGAGGGGAAGCAGAGCAAAATTTCCAGGTCTACTGGACACATGAATTAGTAAATATCCCAAAGGGCATGAGGAAAGAAAAGCTTAATGCAATTACTGCAAGTGTATTTCTTAACGCTTCCTCAGATGGAGTCCTTTCTACCACCAGGAGTTTGACGCACTTGTTCCATTTAAAATTACAGAGAATGCATTTAGGATCGTATTTTAGAAAATAATCCATAACCTTGCGGTTTACATAAAATAGTTTATAGCCTCGGTCTGCCAAAGAGCGGGGCCTTTGTAAAAGGAGTTTTCAAAATGAAAACATCAGACTGCGCTCGTCTGGTCTGCAATTCTTCTCATGTGCGAAGCTAGAGGCCCCGGGAAGAGGAAGGCCAGAAGAAACCCAGTGTTTGTGCCCAGGACTAGAGAGATGTGGGTCAAATCCCTGCTCTGCCTTCTCGTTGCCCCATTGGTGTGACTGATACAGAAGCAGTTCCCTTTCTCAGAAGAATATTCTGAGGATAAACTCACTAAAAAGTGGAGGTGTCCAGCTGCTGCCTTGTATTATTAAGATAGATCTTTCTGATTATTTATCTAGATTTCATCTCTAAATGAGTCAAAAAACCTCAAACCAATAATAAAAGCTGTGTTTCTGTAAGATGCAGTCTGGCTAAGGTATCATTCTGAGCAACATTGCTGTGGTTCTCTGATGGCCTCAGAAGAGCCCTTATATAAAAAAAAAATACTGGCTTCAAAGCAAGCACAGGGATTACTCATAAAAATTACCCCTTAAATATTGAGGCCAGTGCTCTCAGAGCTAAGACCCTGGAACCAAGTGTAGACCATCCATGCCATGTATGGATATCTCTGTAAGCTTTGGCAGTAGCTACAGCCATCTGGAACACCAATAAGCCAGAACAAAACATTTCGCCTGAGTACCCATTCTCATCTTGACCCCCTTGCATCTCTGCTCCCTTCCTAATATTTTACTACAGCTGTGCCTTGCAGAAAGACATTTTCTGCAGAAGAGAGTAAGGTTACAGAGTTACCTGTAGGTGGATTCTCACATATCAGTTGGTGTCTCTTCATGAAGCTACCCTGAATAACCTCAGTGTTCACTATATTTTCTTGCAACTGCAGAGGAAAATGCATCTAGTGCCATCTTTCACATCTGATTCTTATCACCATCCAATTGGGCACAATACCTTAGAGCTGGTTAAAAGAGGCTTAAAGCAGTGACATATATACATTTCACATATCCTAAATATGTTGCAAAAAGTAATTTTTGTGAAGGTCAGACCTGGGATTTGTATCTTCACATTTTGAGCCAAATGGATAATAATTTGGCACTATATCGACCCACCGTGCTGATTGTACCAAAAGTGACGGGAGTTGCTGCCAGCATAGAAGTCACTGCAAGAACATGGGAAGGTCAAATTGACCCTGGCAGCTTGTAAATCTCAGAAGCCTTTCTGTGTTTAAACTTCGAAAAATCATGAAGTCTTTTATTTCCTCCTTTTTAAAAAGGAATAACCTGTCCTCCCTGAGTGTGAAATGTGTTCCCCTTGGAAACACACTGGGTGTGATGAACGCTGCATGAACGGGGGCTAGGGGTCCCCCAAAACTGCGAGACAGTCCTGGGTGCACAGGATTATGTGCATGGGAGCTGCAAGAAGGCACAGCCCTGCCAAGGCAAACCAACAAGAAGTTTCCTGCTTCTCAGGCAGGAAGACAGGTGTGGTAGTAATTACCTTTTAGGAAGGTTTGGTAGCAATAGTCCTTTAGGAAGCCTGTGAAACTCAGTAACTAGACACTACCCATCTTCAAGATAAAGAAATGGTTGATCTGCAGGAAATAAAATCAGATATGAGGAAAAAAGTGATAGCAGTTGGGATTGGGACAGTGAAGCCATGGAACAGGTTATGAGATCTGTTATCAAATCTGCTTTGCTGGAAGTTTTTAAAAATAGAGGAAGGGGTTGGTGGGTGTAAAGGGAACTGATGTTTTTTTGGTGTGGGAATAATGTCTGAGGAGCCTCCCAGCCACACATCTGTATTGTACTGCTGCTGAAAGGCGGTGCTGGCAGCAGTGCAGTAAGAGAGGCAAGGAATTCAGAGGAGAGACATTCAGAGATGTGGCAGAGCAGGACAGCAGCAGGCAGGGTCCATGCCATGCACAGTCCCTTGCTGGTGTGACCAGTTTGGCAGTCACAGAGGAATCCTAGCTATGGGACACAGCCCCGGCGGACCTGTCTGTCCCTGATCGTGCAGCTCACCTTTCAAAGCACAAAGTGCTTATGGCTCTTACTGATTTCCCTTGATGAGAGTTTCCTTCTCTGAGTTACTGATCCGAAGAATCATCATAAAACTCACAAAGTCTGGTATTAGCATTGGAGTAATTCACAGACTAAAATGTTTGGTGAACTGACCCTCACATACAACAGTGGACTGCCATTTCGTGATTTGCATTTAGATTTTTTCCACATAAAACTAATCACTACACATTTCCTGTTTCAAAAATTGCAATAAACATGATGAAACACTCTATAAATACAATTTTTTCATGTCTCATAAATGTCTCTAAACTCCACCCTTGACAATGAGAGTGGTTTACCTAGTAACTAATGTATTCCTAAGTCTTTAAAAAAAAGGAGAGTGAATCTAAAGAAAATATAAAAAAGAAAAAAAAATTAATGATAAGACTGAAACTGTTTGATGAACACAAGATCCACCATAGTCTGAGGTACTGTGAAATTTTTATTGCCACATGTTTCGTAATACTCTGCTCCCATACTCAACCCAATAAAAGCTTTATTTCACCTCGGCCAGCCAGGGCACAGCTTGTTCTGCCAGCAGGGCAGGGCACGGTTAGGACAGCCAGCTGGGCAGACCCTGGAGCCAAGGCTCTCTATCTTTGGGGTGGTTAAAGGAACCAGCCATGAAATGTGGCTCCAGACACGACACCCCTCTTTCTTGCAGAGGTGGCTGCAGGAACATGCGTCAGTGTCTCCCTCTGTGAGGTGAGAAAGGAGGCCCCTGAATCCCAGTCCAGGGAGCAGCAGAGGTTAGTCATGCAGGAAAGTCACGTGAATTATGGGAAAAGATAGATCTTTGACAAAGACCTCTGAGATGGCCACTGTATTCAGGCAAAAAAAAAAAATTTGGCACCCTACTTTAAAAAAAAAAAGGTAGGGAACCGATAGCTCGTGCTGAAATATAGCTTACAGAAGTGGTCAGAAAAGGGGATGATGTATGGAAAGAATGCTGAAAAATTTGTCACCATCTGCAATGGAAGAAACTAAAAGCGTCTAGAAAAAGCTGCAACACATCCTGAATATATACATGTATGAAACTGAGTTCAGCCCTGCAGAGAAGGACTTAGGGATACTGGTGGGTGAAAAATGGAACATAAGCTGCCAGTGTGCACTTGCAGTCCAGAAAGTCCATTGAAACCTTCGCTGCATAACAAGAAGCATGGCAAACAGGTTGAGGAAGGTAATTCTGCCTCTTTACTCCACTCTGGTGAGACCCCATCTGGAGTACTGCATCCAGCTCTGGGGACCCCAGGCAAGAAAGGCATGGATCTGCTAGAGCAGGTCCAGAGGAGGCCCATGAAGATAATCAGAAAGATGAAACACCTCTCCCGTGAGGAAAGGCTGGGAGAGTTGGGGTTGTTCAGCTTGGAGAAGAGCAAGTTTTGGGGACACCTTATTGCAGTCTTTCAATACACAAAGAGGGCTTATAAGAAAGACTTTTTACCAAGGCCTGTAGTGATAGGACAAGGGGCAATGGTTTTAAACTGAAAGAGGGTAGGTTTAAATTTGACTTAATGGGAATTTTTTTACAAGGGTGGTGAGACGCTGGAACAGGTTGTCCAGAGAAGCTGTGGATGCCCTGTCCCTGGAGATGGTCAAGGTAAGGTGACTTTGAGTAACCTGATCTAGTGAAGGTTGCCCCTGCTCACAACAGAGGGGGTTGGACTAGATGGTCTCTAAGGTCCCTTCCAACCCAAACCATTCTGTGATGATTCTATACAATATATTTGCAGGGCTGGTGCAGTGGAGGGACTTAGATGACTGCCTGAACAAGCTAGAAGAGTGTGGAGGGTCACATGTGCCAGCTGTGGTCTTTGAGGTTATCCATCTGCACGTTCCCCAGTCTCATAGGCTTGAACAAACTGAACGTCAAGGGTAATTGAAATGCTACCAAACCAGAATGGCAGCAAGGTAGTCTGTAAGAAGTCTGATACTTTTTATTAAATCAATGAAATAGTGGGGGAAAATGTAACAGTTAAAAAAAAAAGAAAAGAATAAAGACAGGTCTTCAGATAGGAAAGCCCCTCCTGAGACCTGCAAGAAGAGCTAAAGAGGGAGTTGGCATGGTAGCACTTTCACATCTGCGTTGCAATAGGGATAGAGTATCAGGCCCATTGCCAGAGCAGGAGAGAAAGGAGGACATTTAAACCCAGTCATCGTAATGGGTACAGGTTAAAAATCATGTCATCATTGCAGTAGTTGAGATCCATGCAGCACCCTCCCTCACCCTTATCTCCTTTGTTCCCCCTCAGAGGTGCCGAGAACTGGCAGTGGTGGTGCACCCCACTCGCCATGGCGCAGGGGCCTCCCCGAAGCACAGAGTAGGGCAGTGGAGGGAGACAGCTGCCGCTGTAGGCTAGTGGGGATTTCTCCTCACAGCATTCATCTCCTGAAGGGCCAGCATTAGGCCTGAAGGGGTCATGGTCACCCTTTGTGACAGGCAGGATGTGCTGGGTGCCAGGGTGGGCCCAGTGCTGGGGGGAAGGGGTTGCACAGGGCAGGTTGGCCGCAGGGTTGTCATGGCCACTGCAAGGCCTCCCGGTGTTGGGGGTCCTCCTGAGGGGCAGGCTCCTGCTCCAGGTTGGGGCCTCTCCAGAGCCCCCATCCTCCCCAGTTGCCCTTTGGTATGGTGGCTGCACAGAGCAGCTGCCCAACATTGGCTCCTGGGAGCTTTTGCTTAAATGTCTCCCAAAATTAGCAGGTAGCACGTAAGTGTTCGGCTTGGAATGAAGCAAAGGCAAAGCCTCCCGCGTCGACATTGCACCTGTCACAGACTTGGGAAAGCAAGGCATGGTTTAGTTAAACAAGGTGTAGTCTAAGAGCATGAAATAAAATCCATCCTGTATGAGACACTCATGAATGCATTCAATTAATACAGGCAACTAAGCAGACATCATAGCAGAGTCAGCTGGTAGGGTAGTGCCAGTGGGCTTTGGGGTCAAATCAAACAGGGCTCCCAGATCACAGGTCTGGGTTTGTTTCACCAGTTTTTGCCCAAAGCCTGTTTTAAACTGAAAGAATTGTTAGACCTCACGTTCACAGCCCTCAGGGTCTGCTGCCAGCACATACTGAAGATGCACCTAAAAATGAAATTATGCTGATCCATTTGACACCACAGAATTTATTTTTTCTTCTATGGAGTTTTGAAAAGCTAAGTATGGTTTTATTAAACTGATTGTTTTGAAGTTATTTTTTTCACTACAATATTGTGCTTCAGCTTTTCAAGAAACTACTTCTATTTCTAATTGATAAATTTTCTTATCTTTCTTTTTTTTTCACTCCACAAATAGAAATTTCATTCAGGGAGGGAGCAGCACACAAGAATTAATCTTCAAAGTCTTTTGTTCTGGATATTTCCCAACTTCTTTAATTGCCCTCATTACTGGATTATAATTTTGCAAACTTTAATTCCTTTCAGAAAACTCATTCTGTGCTATCATTTCTAATGAGTGCTTACAGGTATCTCTTTGTAATTCTGCCTTTGCATCCATTTAATTATAGTGATTTTGCTGACTGCCAGAGTAGCAAAGCTCCTTTCAGCTGTTCTCTACTCACCATTAAAAGAAATTCCAACAACCTGATGTAGGACCCAGCCCGCCTTCAGCTAAAGACCTGCTGACACCATAGAGAAAACATCCTATGTATCACTTGCTCTGTTTAGGGCTCATATGTTTATCTAAAGTTCTCCTCCCTGGTCTCTTGCGAGAACGTTAAAATTGAATTTTTTCAGAAGACTTTTTGCAGATTCAGCGACACAGGTTATGCATGTCAAATCAGACTCATGAGTTAGTTGGATTGCAGCTGATCTTGGTACAACATGAAGATGATGGGTTATTCACAAGAAAAACCTGCTGGAGAACCATGAATTGGAAAGCCAGCTGAAGGTAAATGGTATCACTCTGACTGCCCAGAGTCAGACCAGCTGAAAAGCAGGCTCTGCAATTAGGTATTTATGACATCTTTGGTCTGTTCCTGCTCCCACACAATTCAAAGTGAAGCCACCAAGAAGATGGTGTAGAAAGAGAAAGAGAGAGACATGCCTAGAGGGACTTTGACTCAGTAAGACCAGTAGGCTCAGGTATAAAAGAGAAAAAGCCATGTGGCTCAGTAGCATTTCCTAGGTGAGGACTACTTTAGTGTTCATGGGGATAGTTAAACCAGTGATATGAAAATCCTTGTTTCTGTTGTTGTTAGAGATTTATACAGTGGCTCAGGTGCTTGTGTCAAGAGGCCACCACCAGTCTGTCCTGTACTCCATGACTGTTCCATTCCAAGTCAGTGTGTCTCCATGAGAGTCACTCCTGAGCTCTGGTTTAGTCTCCTCCTGAGTATTACCAGTAGAAAATAACTGCATCTCCTAAATTCATATTCCATTCAAGTGGGCTTAATGTTCTTTGTTCGCTCTTTTAATCTGCTCCTTAGACTCCTGCTTCCTCATGTCATCCATTTAAGAAGTTTGTCCTCAGCCCAGTTATCCCTTTTGCCTGTAGCTGAAGAAGCACTGTTTACTATTCCACACACCAGGCTAGGGAGGATACACCACCTCTAGCATGATAGCACGTAGAGACACAGGCAGGCTCAAAGCCAGCTGTTTACAGTGAAGAGGCCCAAATATGATGAAGTCTTGTCCAAAATCCTGCCAGGGAATGGTCCTTGGCACATGATGTCCTCCTGACCCATGCCAGGGCATTTTATCTGTGAGCACAAGTTAGCACTGGCCAAATCCATGACAGGGACCATGTGAATAGTGACACAACTGAGCCTCCCCTCCAGTCCTGCTTTGTTTACCAGTAGACATGTAATTTCCTGCTGTCACCGGGCCCAAATTGGCTCCAGATAGGGGTGCTGGCAGTGGGTGATAGTGCTGAGTAGAGCAGGATGCTCAGGACAGCCCTACTCTGTTTTGGCCTGATCCCATCCAGATCCAAAGCCCAGAGACCCTCAACTGTGCCTTGAAACATGGATCACTAAGCCCACAGTTTAATTGGTTGATAGTAAGAGTTACCTCAATCTCCCGGATTCTTTTTAATCTTGGAGAAGATGGAGAAAAAGCTGTCTGTGCTTTCTGGATTGATCTTCTTGCTTCTGCTTCTAGTTTTGTTTCTGGACGTGGATGGTCATGAGCTCCTTTGGACTTTAGAAAGGAATTATGAGATGTTAAAGTTAGAAACAATCTTGTTATTCATCTTAAGGGAGCAGAATTTGTAGCACAGGCCAAAAACACACATATGGCCTTATTCAATGCTTTGTATTTAATAAGACTTATTTAATGTGAGTTCAAGTAACAAGCACATCTCAGGTGAAGTGTAATGGGGTAGAAATTCCCTGAAATCATAAAACCAGTACACCACATTTATGTGCAGAAGAGACTACCCACAGAGTTGAAGCCACATGGTTTTCTGCAGCCTGGCTACAATATCTTTTCAGTCATTTCGATTCTTCTCACACTTTAGACATGTTTATCAGGACATTAATTTCCATTAGCTTCCACAGAGAATTAATTTTATTAAAACTGCATATAAGTAAAAGACTGGGAAAAAGGAGGCAGTTCAGTGGTTGCAGTTCAGTGGTTATGGTACTAAACTAGGACTACAGCTTCCAGAAATAGTGTCCAGTATTTAAACACTTGTGTACCCTGTTTTCCAGATATAAGTTACCTATAATGCATAGATGGCATTTTCCATAGACAATCCCTTGGCTACAACCATTTCTTTTACCTTGCCCTATCACTGTGAAAATTTTTCTCTTTACAGTCATTTGACCTTATCATAATCAGTGACCCTTATTTATTGAAATAAAAAATGTCCTTAATCAACCTCAAAAAACAGTCTTTAAAATTAACTTGCATAATATAAGGTAATTTTATACCAACCTGAAAAAATATGAATTGGCCTTCATGCCTCCAGAAGTTGGTAACTGGGTAACCACCATGGCCTCGGCAGGAAAGGAGCCTCAGGGGTCCATTGCAGTTGGGACAGCATTTTCCTGTGGCAAAGATGGTGGGAAATATTTTCTGTACACCACCAATCAGATGAATCCCGCATGATACAATGGTTCATTGGTGGTGGATTGCTACTTGTGGTTTGGGGCTCAGAAACTACACTGACAAAAGCTATGCAAAAAACTTTCAAACATAAGCAAAAATCAATATAAGCAAACTAAAAATTGCCTTTATTCTATTCCATTGTTAAATATAACTGGAAAAAATTATTTCTATTACAGCTTTATTATTATTTGATCATTTATAATAATGGTTAGTTTTAGCTGTTTTCAACTTGGCAGTGTCTGGAATGTCAAATATGTTCTTGTCTGATTTTTCTAGAGCACATCATTCTGACCTCAGTGAGTGCTTGAGTAATGCCTTTCTTTAGCCAAAATGTTCATCAGATCCAGAAATACGTATATGCTAGCTCTACTGAGCAGTCAACAATTATTTGGAATGGTCTCGCTAAAAATGTGCGTGCAGCTCATGTTCTCTATTTGCATTGCCTTGCTCTGGTGCCATGACTGTGTTTCAGTCACCATAGTTTATGAGCAACTTCTTTCCTGCAAGCTTTGCCTCCTGAGTTGCTCTTAGGCCTATGCAGTAATGAAGCCAAACCTCAGGTTAGCAGGAACAGCACAGCAGGACACTGCCTGCACTGCACAGCTTTCTCATTAGCCTTACTCATGGGCCTGAGAAGGTTGGGAATTACTCTTTAACCATGAGAAATAGAGATTAGAAAGAAAAAGCAAAGGAAACAAACAAGCAAACAACTCCTCCTCCAACAGTAGGAAATGTAAAAAGTGCCTTGTTCCAAAATCAAGAGTTGCATTTGAATATAAGGAATCCTCTACTTTGAATTCTTTTCTATTTTGTTCACTTATGAACTGCCATATAATGAGCGGCCATCTTCATACTCACGCTGTTGTTTTTGCCTAGCTTTATCGCATATGGCTGGTCGTAGGTAGATCTTCCTCCCCTCCAAGGTCGAGCAGTCATTGCTGCAGACCACCACCCCAAGGCAGGACTTCTTTAAGATGCGAGAGTTGTGGTTGTTGGTGTTTCTCATTGCCCAGCTGCTGTGGTGCCTCTGAGCGTTTTTATCCTCTGAGCTATAGATATGTTTTACATAGGAATCTGGCCATTCTTGAAACCAGTCTGTCTGTCTTACGTCCTGCAGAGAGATCAAAGCAAGACATGTGTCAGGCTGAGGAAGAGAGGAGTTCAAGCAGGACCCCAGCAGACCTGGTCTTCTGTGGGGTGTCCTCTAGGCTGGGTGACTCCACTGCCCTGTCAGGTGATGCTGGTTGGTAGGAGTAAGTGGTGGGGGGAAGACAGGAAAAAGCACAGCTCCCCATGTCTCCCCACGAGCCCCAAAGCATCAGGAAAGCTGGGCCAAGAGGCTGCTCTCATTCAGCCATGGGTCCAGCTCAGTGCAGGACCTCCCCAGGAGAGGAACATGGGGAGCCTGATGTAAAATAGCAGATACTTTCCTTGCAGACAGCAGTCACTGCCTGGCTGACTTCTGTAAGCTTTCATGGCAGAAATCCTGTTTGCCTTTCAGGCCATTCACAGCAGCGTTACACTGAATCATTTGGCTGGATTTGACTTGACTCACTGGAAAAAGGGCAAATACTGAATCAGACTGAGACTATGCCCACATTTGCAGGTCTTTAGTTCTGGATTTTAGTTCATTTTGGCCTAAGTGCTGTGAAAGACTTCCATAGTGACTATTCTGAAGTCCAAAACAAACAGATTCGGCAGCCTGATCGTTTTTTATTTTCACTGCTATGGACTAAGCAAAGAAGACCCCGAGGACAACCCTGTAAGGAATAATAAAAATAAAACACAATAGAGGGGGGGAAAAGGACCAAACAGGCATCACCTCGGTGGGTACAGTCAACAAATGCGGTAAGCTGTAAAGCACCTAACACACCTGCTGATGGTTTTGAGAGAAAAGGTCATTGCAGGGGTACAAAACCAAAATAGGAATTTGAAATTCCTATTGAAATTGCTGATCCCAGCCATTGAGAGCCATTAGTGCAGCAAGAACATCAACTGAGAAGATAAAAGTTCCTGTGCTGCCCCAGGAGCCATTGAATAGTGTAGTGCAGGGTGTGGAGGAAGCCTCCAGGCTGAAATGCAGGTGAAGGTGACCTTGGGGTGCAGGGCAGGGAAGGAAGCAGCCTGGGACATGGAGGCCTTGGGAGAAAAGCAGTGACATAGTAAAGAGTCTGGGATCAGGTAAGGAGACAGGGTTGAGAGATGAAGGAGCTGGATGGTAAAGGACCCCAGTAGGAGGGCTCTGGCACAGATACGCTAAGGTGAAGGACAGGGGGATGACATTGGGGTGCGGGGTGCTGTGGGCTTTTAGTGGAGAGCATGGTGGAAATTTTTAGATAGGAAGACTAGAAAAGGACTGAAGGAGGGAGAGATCACTGTTCTACCTCTCAGCAAATCTCTGCTCACATGAAGCAAGCTTTTCCCAGGTGCTTGTGAAAGGAGTGTTGCCTCCATATGGAAAGCCAGCCCTGGAGCCCAATATGCGGCGAGGCTGAGCAGCCGGAGTAGCAAGGAAGTCATGAGTGCTGTGCTCATTTCTCATAAAGCACTACCCAAGGCAAAAAGCAAGTCCTGGACATCTCCAATTGAGCATCCACAGCAGGAGGTAATTTTTTTTCTTTGCTTTCTCTGCACCTCATCCACCAGTGGACTAGAAAGGCAACGCATCTGCAGCATTGCTATTTTTCATGTATCCGCAGCTCTTTCAGTAATATGTTTAAGGAAAAATGCATGGAAACATGAATATTTGCTAATATTTTCTAGCTTTTCAGTAAAAAGCTGTCGCTATAAGCTGTCGCATATCTCAAGGTGGCAAAGAGAGTAAAGGCAACAAGGTATAGATGACTGAGGAAAGCATTTAAGATCAGCGGTGAAGTGGAGATGACTCAGCAGAACTGGATGAAATTATGAGACACAGACACATACCTGGGGAAGTTTGATGTCATTGATATCCCAAGTCATCATTTCTCCATGTTGGGAAGCAGAGTCCTCCTGCTCCATGACACCATCATTTGCACCTTTCAGCATGTTTTAATTCCTTTGCAAAGTTAGCGAGACAATTTCTCCTGGCTGCTTTTGAAGCTGCCTGCCTGTCAGCACTCTCAAGTAGTTCACAACCAGGAAGCCGATTCCTGAAGCTAAATGATAGAGAGGCTGCTCATTAAAGATAAAAATCAGTGTTCTTCTGCCAGAAAAACTTGTTCCATTAAAAGTTTTGCAAGCCGGCAATGCAGTGGAAAATATAGCTTAGAGATAGCCTGTGATGTTACAGAGGCATTGCTAACAGCAAGCAAATTGTGCCTTTATCATCTGCTTTGCTTTGCTCTGTCTCCTCTCATACCAAGTTTATTGTCACAAACTTCTGCTCGCAGGCTTTTTGTATCCGACTCTGGCTTAATATTTCCAGAGCCAAACCGACTGAACAGCTCAGCAGCTGGTAGGGTCTTTGAGTCGCTGCTTACCCATTGGGTATTTCACACACTGTACATGGCAAAGGTGAGCAACAAGAGGGGTCGGCTACAGTATTTCAGCCGAAATGGCACTCGGCCATTTCAAATGTTACTGGCATCTCTGAAAGCTTACCAATTGTGTGAGGGAAGTGTAGAAAAGGGGGGTTGGGCTACCTGCATTTTCCTATCTCAACAGCAGACTGAAGTAAAAAAAAATACAACAACCCACCAAGGTATGTTTGTTAAAACCAACAGGTTTTGCCTGAAATCTTGTAAAGCAGGCAGCTGCCCTACTCTGAATTTCAGTACCTGCCAAGCGTAATACCATATCCTTGGGGATCTCAAGCATGAAAAACTTTTGGGGTTTGTTTCCTTTGGCAAGGAGAAAAAAGGAGAATCAGAAAATGAAGAGGTCAGTTTTATCTTTCCGGACACCGAGAAAGGTTCAATGGTTTCAGGAAAGTCACTGTAATTTATGCCAGTTAAGGATTTGTTAAAGACTACTGAGCAGTGGGAGAAGTATAATCTACTTGATGCAATTCTATTTCATAGACTTTATTAAGCACATTTTATTTTATTGTTACTTCTGGCTCTGCCAGACTTAGCCTTCACATCCTTAGTTCACCCCTTTAACAAATACCCATGATCTTAATTTCTTATGTTATATTATCACCTCTAAAGCGAGAGTTTGCCAATATTTGCGGAGCACTTGTGACGTATGGCTGTACGGTGCCTTGGCACTTTGTGGCTCAGACTGTGGTGGTGGGGGAGAAAGAAGGCTATGGCAGAGCATCCCCCATGGAAAAAGACGCCACCGAAGGATGCCTCGTTGTCAGCACCAGTGTGCTCAGGAGTTTGAATGGAGGCTGGTTCTTGGAGGGCATCTGATCCATCGCAGCTTCAAATAAGGTGTTAGACCAGAGGAGAAGGGAGCATCACTGCTCAGAAATACAGGCAGCTGTAAGAAAGATCAGATCTTAACGGATTTCCATATTGCACTATAATGAAGATGGAGACAGTAAAATCAGGACAAACAAAATATGAGCTGCATTGGAAAATGGACTTGAATTTACTGAACAAATGACCCTTGACTACTGTGTGCTCTAAAACATGAAGTGATTTGTTATAAAATTCAAAATGGTAGTCTCATTGCTTTTAAAATTACTTTTCAAAATGAGATGTCTTAGAAATTGATTTTTAATTTCTTTCTTTTCACATAAAATGGAATATTTCTTCTTTCATGTTCTTTTGATAGAGATAAAACAATAATTAGATACTACCTAAAAGTTTAATGAAAGACACAGATAATTTTGGAATGGTACACACAAAAACTGAAGTTACAGAGAATCACACATATTTAGCTACTTGCGGGCAAAGGCTGAAATAGTAGCAAAAACTGAGCAATAATTACAGGATAATGTGGCATATTGAATTTCTGATTGTTATTTGTGTAGTTTTAGTTATTACTAAAGCTTTATAAATTGTAAGTTGTAAGTAAGAAAATATTTCCTCTCCTCTCCCCTCTCCTCTCCTCTTTTCCTTTTCTTACATGCCTTGTCCCACTTCTTTCTTTAGTCTCTTGTGCTACAGCATTACTACTAGTATTGCTATATCACGTCATGGAGGTTGAACACTAGTCAAGACTGAAAGAGATCAAAAACATAGGAAATAAAGAATATTTTAAGAAAGCCTATTTAATGCTTAAATCTGTGTGACATCTGAAATACGTTAGAATACATTTAGAAGGATACATCAAACCTCATATTTTATGATTTATGGCAATTTTTAACTTAGTAAGGATTAGGAAGGTTTCTATTTTCCTTAGAAGTGTTTGATGTTGACCACTGTTAGGAAAAAACTGATGGGTTTTTAAAAGAGATTATATGTTACTAATTTACATTAGCCTACAGGTTAAATTAATTCAATATAATCTGCAAACTCTTGTTTGCAAGGGCAGTCTTTCAGACTGTAACTGCAGATGGATGTCAGGAGTTCTTCAGCAGTTATCTACAACAAGGGATCAATGTCTGGAAAAAGCCCTGGAGCTCTAAAAACCTTCTTGCATTCAGGCTCATGGTTCGGAGGAGGCTGTGGAACTCCACAGAGCGGTGCCTGGGGACAGCAGAGCAGCTGTCCTGCTGCAGGGGTTGCCCATCGCTGGCTTTGGTTCAGGTGCCAAGCTCTGCCCAAGGATGGAGGCTGGCGGCAGGAGCCCATGGATGTAGGCTGCTGCAGAGGTCAGGAGATCAGGCTTCTGGCTTGTACTGTTTTACTGCCACACGAAGAAGGTGCTTTTGTCAGTGCCCCATCAGTCTTCCTTCTTCTCTCTTCGGTGTCATCTTTCAGCGACAACCTTTAACTGACCTCAGGTGCAATCGGTGGCCTTTTATACAGGCTGAGTTACCTGTCCTGCCAGCAGCGTGTGTCTCACTGTCTTTCATGGCCGCATTTGTGCCTTGCCGTCAAGTGCTTGATTTTCCCTGTGAGTACAGCTTGACACCAAAAGGTTCTCCCTGCTGCTCTGATGGAAGCTCTCCTGCCCCTTCGCCACTGCAGGTATTGGCCTTTGCATGCTTCCCATCCTTCTTCTGCTCCACTTTTATTACTGCAGAGTTTCATGGTGCTGCACCTCAGGTACCAAGGAATTCGTTATTTGAAACTGGTCTTGGTAATGCCTTTGATGTCAGAACAGACTGATGATATCACATTTTTATTCAGTTCCCATATTTTTGAATTCTGGACTGCTCTGGATGAGAAGTCAGTTGTAAGTAGCATAGTTTTTCTAGCTTTGCTGCTTCTGTCACATTCATTTAATTTTTTTTTAAATGTAAAATTTTAATTTCCCATTCCTGTCCAGACATCCTCTTTGTAGAAGTGCTGCCTGAAATGACATTCTGTAGGGTTCTCTGAAGGTCAATATCATGTAAGACAGACACATCTACAGCATAGATTATAAACCAGACAGATTAGCCTGGAATTTGCCTCAAAGCTCAAACATAAATTAATGTCTTCACCTATTTTAGAACAGGAGTCAGCAAAACTAGTCGCCCAGGATGCCTGGTTTGTCCTCTAGCTCTGAGGCTGACCTCCCCTATTTCGTCTTGATTGAGTCACGTTTGCAGAATGACTGACTACCTTATCAAGCACTCACGCAACCTGAACCCCAAGCTCACTGAAAGCTGGGTATGTCTCCACAAAGCAATGTAGTTGATTGGGCACTGGAAGCTGTACAACTGCATTACCAGGTTGCTCTGCCAAGGTTACTTAGCTCTGCTCGCTGTAGTTTTTCCATCTCACGCTGCATCATGATGTGGATAATTTCTGTCTTTTGCCCAGTTTGATGGATGTCAGACCAGCCTTGCTATAAAAGTCCGCCCACATGAACAGTCTGCTCTGAACAAACCACTGCCTTCTCAGAAGATGGACCCTGTGTTTGGAAGGAAATACATTACAGTTTTCAGCATATCTGATAACATGGTGCAGCAATTTTCTGGTAATCTGATGACACTTTCCAGTGGTTGCCCATGTATCTGCTATCATGCTGCAGCACAAACTGCAGGGGGAGTTTAGTAAGACCGGGTTTCCTTACACGTCCTGCTCCTATCGGCACAGAAGGACAAGCCTGTCCTTCATTTTCTCTGCATTTCACTTGTCTGTTTGTCCTTCATGAAGATGAAGCCCAACAGCTATTTCTGAACAGACTGTTACTGAACCAAAGCCTGCGGACTTGCAGCTGTGACAGCAGTGAGGGAGGGCACCGTGTAGCGTGGTCCTGGCCCCACAGATCTGGGGACCTTGCTGTCAGCAATGACACGGAAAAGCAGCGACCAAGGACAGGAGGTACGGCACAGTATGCATTGCACAAATGTGAGTTGTCATTGCTTGTCCTGAAACCCAGACCTTGACGCCGGTTCCCCTCTGTTGGGCCTCCAGGAGCAGGAAGAAACGGAAGGAGGAGCAGCAGCTTACAGGGAACCTGCAGGGACACCATGGCCTGTGTTGGGCAGGAACTGCTGATTATGTGGTGTTATTTATACATCTTAACCGTATGGAAACAATGTACCGGTGGTGCTGTACAGCTCACTCCAGTGCATGGAGACCAAAATAATTTTACTCCTGCTTTCTGAATTACCTTTCTTCTAGTTGCATTTTAGCTAGTTGTTTCTTTGGGAATAGCCTAATTTTGTGGCAAAATTGCCTTTATTATTGTTGTTGCTATGCAAGTGAAAATTGCTTTTAACACTCCCCCACCCTTTCTGAATAACTTCAAGGATGCTAAGCAGAAGTTCTTGCAAAATGAGACAGACCGAGAAAGTCAGGATGTTCTCATCTATTCTTTCCACGGTATGTGCTTGACTCTAGTTCACCTTGACAAAGGCAGCAAATTGATCTGGAAAGCTCCGTAGGAGGAATTACATCTTCAGGTCTGTTGCTAAAATACTGGTGTCCTATTGCCTCTAACTGGCAACAGTTTTCCAACTTTCTTTGAAAGCACATTTACTGCCCCCTGGTCAGATAGAAATTCCCACTACCCACTCCTCACTGGGTGAGAACTCTCTCCTTTCCATGTGAATTTGCTATGGTTTAGTCCTCTGGCTTTGCAAGTGATGATTTTTATTCTTATCTGCTGTTCACCCACTTAATTTTGCTGATCCTCCTCCTCATTTAAAATGTAAACCACTTTAAAT